CTTGGCTTGCAGATCACTCGGGACAGAGCACGCCGCACCATTACCTTGACTCAGTCACACATGGTGCAGCAGGTCCTTCAGCGCTTCGGCTTCGCGTACTCCTCGCCTCAGGCCACTCCTCTGTCTACTCGCCACTCGCTCTCAGCTCTGCCTTCGGATGAGTCCGTAGAGTCGAGTGGCCCGTACCCAGAGCTTGTTGGCTGCCTCATGTACCTGATGACCTGCACACGACCTGACCTTGCATACCCTCTTAGTATTCTTGCACGCTATGTTGCTCCTGGGAGACACCGACCAGAGCACATGGCTGCAGCGAAGAGGGTGTTGCGCTACTTGTGCAGTACGTCGGGCATGGGGCTAGTGCTTGGAGGGCGGAGTCCAGTGGTCCTCACTGGGCACGCGGACGCTTCTTGGGCTGACGACCAGGCTACGCAGCGGTCGTCGCAGGGTTACACCTTCAGTCTTGGTTCCGGCTCTGTCTCGTGGCGGGCTACTCGCTCGTCCTCTGTTCTCGGCTCCAGTTGTGAGGCTGAGATCTACGCCGGGGCCATGGCTGCACAGGAGCTTCGCTGGCTCACCTACCTGCTGACTGACCTTGGAGAGCCGCCTCGTTCTCCTCCAGTGCTGTACGTAGACAACAAGGCCATGCTGGCCTTGTGTCGAGAGCAGCGCTTGGAGCACAGAACGAAGCACATTGCTCTCCGTTACTTTCTTGCTCGTGAGCTGCAGCAGCGTGGTCAGTTGCGACTTGCTTACGTGGCCTCTGCGGCCAACACTGCTGATGTGTTCACCAAGGCACTTGCGCCTTGTGACCATCAGCGCTTCTGCACCCAGCTGGGTCTTGTACCTGTCTTGCCTCACTTGCTCTCTTCTTGACCTTGCTTGTACTGTTACATATATATACCTGCTCTTGCTTGTCTAGCTCTATATATATATATATGTGTACTCCTGCATGTGAACTGGCCTTGTGGCCTTGTCGTAGTGCTCGGACTGTGTGGTGACTTTGTGATCCACCCTGAGCTTGCTCTGCTTTGCTTGACTGGTCTTGTGACCCCTTGTTCTCCCCCACTTTGCCTATGGGGGTGTGTCAGAACATTATATAGCTTATGCTGTTGTGTAGGCTATAGTGGGGTATCCCATAAGGGGTACAACACAATTAGGGTTTCCCATATGTACTCACTTCATTCATAGTTCAAACATTCTCGTTCTTCCTTTCACACGCGCTGGGCGCTGGTGCTGGGCGTTGGCGCACGCGCTGGCGCTGGTCGTCGCGGTTTGCGCTGGCGCTCGTTGTTGGCGTCCGCGGTGACACTGGTCGCTGGCGTTCGCGCTCGGCGTTGGTGGCGACGTGCCGAGGCGCGACGGGGCAGCGAACGGGGATGCTGACGACCAGCGCAAATCGCGCCGCGCTGGTCGTCGCGGCCTGCTTCCCGTTGGTCGCGACGTGACCAACGTGGCACGACCGGGACAGCAGGGGCGACGGGGCGAGCTGCACGTTGGCAAGTGGTGGGCCCATGTTATGAAAACGAAACGGAGGTCCGCAGGACGGACCTGCTCTAGATACCATGTCGTAAGTAGCTAGTTGAACGTAGGAACCATAGCTAGGGTTCTAGGTGCTAGCATGGATGTCGAGAGAGTAGAGCAAGGCAAAATAGAAGAAAGAGGGTTGATTCAAAATTGAGCGAGGGTACAAATAGGAAAGAACATGCAAAGGAAGAAGATGCACCACAACAACAAGGGATATAACTACACTAATTCTACACTACAGGCAGTTACAGAATAATTTATACAATTACAATTTAATAGGGGACTCCAAGAGAACCATGAGAGGGAAGGGGTTCTCCAAGTACTAGGAAAGGATGGTAGAAACCTTCCTAGCAACAAGGATGCAACCCTCATCATGAGGTCCTTGAGGTGTCACATGCAAAATCCAATCTAGTTGATTTTGCCTAGGTGTTGTAACATTTACAACCCATGCTAGAAACTTCAAGCCACTCCAATCCAAAAGTCAAAGTTGGCTTCCTAACCACCCAACCAAAGATCTCTTTATAGTCATGTCCAAGTAATCACCCAAATTAGATATAACCCCAAAAGGTAATAAGAAATCCAAGTCTTGGAAATCTTATAACTTGGGCGATCTTGGTCGGAACAAGGCGATCTTGGTATCGTTGGAAAGCTCTGGATTTCTCCTGCATGAACGAGATTTTAAACTTGGAGAAAAACACAGAGATGATAATATCCAACAGCCATGCACAATGACATATGCTCATGCAAATCATGCAAGCACAAATAGCACGAGCATTCGGCAGGACGTTAGGATGACATGCACTCAAACTGACGTGCATCCAACAAACCCCCCCTCAGTCTAACGGACTGCATGCACACACACTGACATGCATGCAAACACTCATGCACACAAACACACATGTACTCATGACACTGCTGCCCACACTAGTGCAATGCCATGCCACACATCCTTGCACACTTCCAATGTGCACTCTCGGGAAGTCTCTTGGTGAGAAAATCTGCTGCCTGCTTGCTAGCCCATCTGCCTGCTTGCAATGTGAGCTTAAAAATCCTCTCCTTCACCATCTGCCTCACCCATTGCCACTTAATCTTCATGTGCTTGTTCAGCCCGTTCAGGATAGGAAAGTGGTGTAGGTCCCTCCTGTTCAGCTCCCATGTCCTCTAGCAGCTTCCTCAGGAGCACAATCTCCTTGATGGCATGGTACATCACCATGTACTCTGCCTCTCCCGAAGACTGAGCAATCTCACTCTGCTTCTTAGACCTCCAGTTCACTGGTCCACCCCCGACCATGCAGACAAAGCCACCAAAAGATGATTGATCCTCCTCCTCTGAGGCCCATGTGGATCGGTGAAGCACGACAGCTTCAAAGTTCCATGCGTGATCCCATGTTCTCCAAACTGTTTCAGCTTGCCGCCAGCTAAAAACTGAACACCCGCAAATGCCGTTGAACCGAGGTAGCGCACCAAGCGCTTTCCCACCTCCAAATGCTCCTCAGTGGACCGCTGCACAACTCTGGCCAGCTGCCCCACTCCGAATGAAGCATCAGGTCGCGTATGCACTGCAGCATACATCACACTCCCAATGAGTGACTGGTACTCATTCTGCTGCTCATCCTCGAGTACATCATCCTCCTCAACTGCCTTCTTCAGCTTGAAGCCTGCAGGGAACGGCGTCATCATAGTGCGACCCCCAATCACACCATAGTGCTCCATGACACCAGAGATGTAGTTTGACTGATGCACCTTCAGCCACCTCCTCTCAACATCCCTCCTCAATCCGCACCCTGCCCCTCGTTTCTCGCCCCCCTGCACTTGGTTTCTCCCCTCCCTGCCCCTCGCTGCCTTTCTCCACTCCCCTCCTCCCCCCTCTCCCCGCTCCCCCACTCTCCCCCCCTTGTCCTTGGCTTCCCACCTCCCTGCCCCATGTTTCCCCCCTCTGTGTGCTCAGCCTCTCCCCTCCTTGCCTCTCCCAGCCCAGTACTGCTCTCGCGTAGCCATCTGCTCTTACCTAGCCATGGCTGCCTACTAAGGAGCCTCCTAAACCTACTATTTCGAGTTGCTTAAGGACAATCGCGTTAGTAAGGTTGTTTATATCATTGTTATAATGATTTCTAACGGTTAGTTTTTGTGTTTCGACGGAGCGGTTCGCGCTGGCGAAGAGTGTCGAGAGGATCGCAAGGGTCCCACGTTTAGCGGGAACCACTTGCGAACCGGTCGAAATCGTTCGCGCGTGACTGAGGCGAGAGCGGCGTGGCGGGAAATGAACGGGCGAGGTGGAGCGAGGCGTTTGCGCGGTTACAGCACCTGGGGACGAGTTCGACATTGCTCCCGCCAGTAACGCTGCTCCCGCCCTTTCTTCCCCCCCTTCTATTTCCTTCCCGGTTCCCCTCTCTCTCGACATTCGACTATAGTTCCTTTTGCTTGAACCTTTAGATAAGCCGTTTTCCTAGCAAATAGTCGCGCGCGACTCGGTTAATTTCGTGGCCCACCGCTTAACGCATCGATTCCTTACCTCCTTTAGCACGTGATAGTTGGCCGTCGCGAAGGGAAACGCGGGACGCCGCGAGACCGTCGTTTTTCTGTAGCGGCGCCCCTTTCCCCTGCCGCGATCGACTTAGTTTCTTCGGCGCCCAGCCGTTTTTAGGACACAGGCGCGTTCGTTCGTAGCGATTAAGCGGCCCTCCCATTCCGCCCATGGCGCTTCACATTTCCGCCTCTCGAAGCGCGTTTTCTGCCTAGCGCGTTTTAGCCGCCCCACTCCCCCTTTGCTCACTCCCCCCATGCCATACCTCATCGCGCGCTCGTGCTTGCCATTCTTCCGAGTCATACTCTTACCCCGCCGTCGCCCACATAGTCACTTCCTTGCTCACACTGCCCCTTCCCCCCTCGCACGGGCGTTTCAGCCACCTTGCCGCCTAACACATATCTTTCCCTTACGGCGCTTAGCTAGAAGAAGCCGCCTTGTCTCTAAAAACTGTAGGAAATAAGAGAGAATAAATTCAAAGAAAGAAAGAAAAAAAAGACCATAACATCCGAAAGGCAGCTTACACTTTGTTCTCCCATCCCTCCAGGACCTCATCCAGTCCACCACCCCCCGTTCGATTTCACTACACTGCACCACACCCTCCCCTTTTGCCCACCAGCATTACCGTCCCTTTCCACGCCCCCCCAGCAGGCTTTTCTCCCCCCAGCCCCCCGTATCCCTGCCCTTAGTACCTCCGCGCTCTGTCCTTTTGTCACCCTTGTCCACTTCGTACCACCTCCCCCTTCTCCCCCCCGGCTTCTCCCTATCACCACCCGCATGTTCCCCCACTCCCCTGTCCACAACGTCCCTCCTCCACCCCCCCTCCTGCCTTCCCCACTCCCACTCTGCCCTCCACACCTCTACGAGCCATACTTCCACCTCCATCCGCCCTTTTCCCCTCAGCTGCTCCCATAAGCCGCGGGGGCTGCACCTCTACATCCCGTTTTGCCAGGCCCTTCAGTGACCCACCTGCCGCCACCTGGCACCACACCGCCCTCCCCACCCCCAGCCAAGCTCTACACCCCCTGCCCCTGCTCCCTGTGCTGTCCAGCCACCTACCCCAGCCTCCCTCCACGTTTCCCTGACACCACACCGCCCGTCCTACCCCCGGCCAAGGTCTACAACCCTTGTCCCTGCTCCCTGTGTTGTGCTGTCCCCAACCCCCCTCCGCCTTTCCTTGGCACCAGACCGCCTCTCCCTCCCCCAGCCAACCTTTACACCCCCTGTTCCTGCCCCTTGTGCCTTCCAGCCCCTTTCCCCAAGCCCCCCAGTTTCCCCCTTCTCCAGTACCCTCCATATTTTCTCCCCCCTGGGGCTCGCCCCTCCGCTATTATCACCTTTCACCGGTCCCCCAATCCCCTCTGTCCCCTGTTTTCCAGCCCCCCATTTTATTTTGCATTTACCACAGCTCCTCTTTTCGGTGCACTCTCTGCCTTCCCACGAGATGGAGGGGGGAACCGTACCGGGTCCTCACCCCCTACTAATGCTGTCACTCAGACCTCACTCCCCCCACCGCAGACACAACGCCCTAACGGGAGCATAACTCCAGCCCTTCGCTCCCCACCCACAAACTCCCTCTTTGGCCCCCTTCCCCACGAGGGGCCCCATTGGGCAGCCATTGCCCCCCCCGCACAGCCCACCCGGCCGGCCCCCACAGAGGGAGATGCCAAGGGAACGGGTCGGCCCAAGGGAGAAGTAGAAGAGGTGGTTATGACCCTTTCGGGGGGGGACAGGACAGGGGACCTGATGCTCATCGACCGCCCTCTGGCCCACTACCTCACCCTCACGGACGAGGACGATGGAGACCCCTCAGTGCCCCATGGTGAGGTCTCCCCCACTCCCCCACTCCCAAACCCCATGCTAGCAGGTGGACCAAGGGAGGAACCAGAGGAGACAACGAGGACGAGGCTTTCGGAGGGCGCCCCCATCCACCTCTACCCCTCAGCCCACCCTCCCCCAGGAACATCCCCCCCACGCCCCCCACCCCGGCAGGCACTCTCATGTGATAGGCGGGGCAGCCAAGGCCAGGGCTTTCTTAGAGGAGCCCTGCTCCCCGACCCCGGACACCCAGCCCCTACCTCCCCCCCCACCAGGTCCCCCCCCTCCCACAGCGGTACACATCTCCGAGGTGTCGGGTCCAACCTCTTACTCCCACTCCACGCTCTCCACACCTCTGATCCGCCACCCCTCCCATCACTTCCCCCGAGCTGGTGGGAGCAACCCACAGGGACCATGCCCATCGGCACAAAGGGTTGAGGGAGTGTGTGGTGATAGGAACGCCCAGGGCAGCACCCCTCATAAGGACAAGCCCCGGAACCCACCCCTTCTTTCCACCCCTCCAACTCCACCCCCATCACCACCTTCAACCTCCCAGCCCCAAGCAGCTAGTCCCAGCCGTTACACCATCCCACAACGTCGCTCTCCTGCACCTTTGGCTGCTCACCTCTGTGGATTGAACCAACCAGCACCTCTTGCCGCTCCACACGGTTCCAGGGGAGATGGAGGGGGGAACCGTACCGGGTCCTCACCCCCTACTAATGCTGTCACTCAGACCTCACTCCCCCCACCGCAGGCACAACGCCCTAACGGGAGCATAACTCCAGCCCTTCGCTCCCCACCCACAAACTCCCTCTTTGGCCCCCTTCCCCACGAGGGGCCCCATTGGGCAGCCATTGCCGCCCCCGCACAGCCCACTCGGCCGGCCCCCACAGAGGGAGATGCCATGGAGAGGGAGGAGATGCACATGTAGCTCCCCCCACCTGGCCAAACACACACGCTTCCCCCACTCACTCCCACGGCCCCTCAGGCCCCCCTTCCCACACCAGCAGGCATGGACAACCAAAACCAGGTTGGCTGCCGACGGAAGAAGAGAGGCAAAGGCGGCAAGGGGTCAGCTCACCTACTCCCCCCTCCCTCCCTTCCCCCCCAGGCGCCCCTCCTCACCTCACATCCCTTTGAACCTGCACCAGGCCTTACCCCTATGGGCCAACCACCACACACACCCCCTCCTATTCCTGCCCCTCCGCAGGGCCATGGGAGCGACCCAGCCCACTCACCCTCGGGCTGCCCCTCCTCACCTCTAAACTCCCCCCAGGTGGCAGCAGCTGCGTGCGTCATCGTGGTGGGGGCCGACGAGAGGAGGGATGCGCCAATGGCAGACGCTACCGACTCCTCTTCCCATACCTCCCACCCCGTTCGGGTCGGCGGCCCCTTTCCGCAACCCATGGACTCTTGGGAGAGCCAAGGGGGCTCTCGAGAGCAGGGACCATACCCAAGCTCTGCTCAGCCAGCACGCCCCACCCCACCCCCTACCCTGCCGGCCCTTCCTCCCTTACCAGCAGGCAGGCAGGTTACCGAGACCCCACAGGAGGTGAGGGCTGCCATCTCAGACTTGCTGGCGATACAGAGCCCTAGCAGCCCCCCAGACGCCCCCACCCTACCAGTCCCACAGGTCCGGACCCGGACGTATGCGGAGGTCGCTCACTCTGTCCCTTCTTTTACCCCCCCCACTACTCAGCTAGGCTCGTCACTCCCATGCCCGATGGAGTCGGACCTGGTTCTGAGGCCGTGTCACTCGCACCCAGATGTGGTGGCGCCTCCCCCTGTTCAGCCTGTCACCGACGCACTTCCCGTGGCGCAGGAGGGCACCGGCACCGGGCTCGAGGTCTCCGCTCCTGCCGATACCTCTCTGCCTGGGGTAGCAGAGCCGCCACGCGGACCCCACCCCGCCGAGGGAGAGGAGCACACCACGGCATGCTCTTTTGGCTCACCTCCAAATCCTCCCTCCCGGACTACGAGGCCGGTACGGCCGGGGGACCCGACCCCATCCAGTGTGGCACCATCTCCACCTCCGCCGACACCCCTCCTGCACGAGGTCGGTGAGTCTTCTCCTACCCTTCTCCCAGGCGATCCTCTTGGAGCTCAGGCCGACCATGGGGTCCCTTCTACAGCCAGTTTCGACACCACGTCCCCGATTGACCCCACCGACACGGCGACGTCACCCGACCAGGTCGTGAGATGCCCCACCTGCAAAAGCTCTCTCGCGAACCGATGCGCGCTCCAGCACCACACTCCCTTCTGCCATCCTGCGGACGCAGCTCGAAGGGCACAGGCCGTCCATGACACCACCTCGATCCTCCCTTCCCACTCACAGCCGCGTGCGACCGGGATACAGTTCACTGATGCACAGTGGCAGACCCTCGACTCGGTGGACTGGACGGAGTACTTCTCGCGTGAGTATATTTCATGCACGCCCTCTTCGACGTGTCCCGGAGAGGGTCCACGGAGGATATCTCGACTTCCTCAGTGCGATCCTATCCCGCATTGCCCAGGACCCAGAGGCTGCTGGCCCTACCTTCCTTCTCGCTGCAGCGCCGACCCTTTTCCTCGCTCCAGCGACGCCACCCGACCGCTCGCACACGGCTGCCATTGCAAAACGCATCTCCTGCTTTGGTCGAGGTGAGTGGGATGAGCTACTCTCGGATGCACTAGGCCGCTGCACACCCCTCCCTCGGCGCACAGGTCACCGCTCACGCAACGCCACCAATCCCTCCACAGCAGATGAGCGCCGCATTGCACGTTGCCTTCGTTTGGCAGTGTGCAATGAGACCTCACGGGCCTCCGCGGCTCTCGAGTCTGCAGAGGCAGCCCCAGGTACACACAGGATGATACAGTGCCTACGGTCGAAGCACCCCAACGCGGAGAGGCCGACCCCAACTTGGCTGTCGGGTTTCCAGGGGTCTGCTCTTGTGCTCTCGGTGGATCACTTACGTCGCGCGATCTTCACAGCTCTGCGGGGCACCTCGGGAGGTCCGTCCGGTTGGGTCGCTGAGCACCTTCGAAACACTTTCCTGGCTTTCTCTCAGAGTCTCCATTTCCTCTTGGCTGTGTACCAGCAGTGGCTCCGAGGTCATGGCACTCCAAGTGCGCGCTCCTTGCTAGCACGCTCCTTGCTAGCGTCCTCCACCCTTGATTCGGCGTTGCCACGACCATCCACGACACGGTAAAGTTTGTGCTTCAAGACTTCGCGGTCGAGGCGGGCTTCGCGGTGAAGGTGGAGGACTCTACGCTGTTCACATTGCTGGAGGCGGCTCGAGCGAGACTATAGGGACAGCTGGTGGTGGGAGAGGGGACACGGGCTGGGGGACTGCTGGAGCAGAGGGGCGAGGCGGGACAGCCGGGGAGGGGGGCCAGCAGAGGCAGCAGCAGGAGAGCCAGCGGAGGCCACGGGCCCAGGGCGCCACGCCTCCGGGTTTGGGCTCGGGGGTGGGGCAGGGGCGGGAGCAGCAGAGAGCGGACGGAGGTACAGGGGGGGCAGCAGGATCGGGAGGAGAGGACCATGGAGTGAGAGAGGCAGCAGGGGATCGAGCAGAGCGGTTGGGAGGGTTGGGGGAGGGTAGGGAGGGGGAGGGGAGAGGACAGGTGGGTGGAGGAGAGGAAAGGGGGAGAGAGACGACCGGAGAGGAGGCACCGAGGGACCAGACAGGGCAGCAGCCAACCCAGCAGCAGGGACCAGTCGGACGCACTGGCCGTGTAGGCACCTCCTCCTCCCGCATTCCAGACCTCACCTGCCGCGACGTTGGGCAGACTTTGATGGTTCTTGTGGATGTCTCTATAGCGGATCCACAGCGGGAGGGGAACGTGCAGCTGAGACGGGCGACCCCCACATAGATTGGAGTGGCAGTAGCTAGGCGGGTGCAGGAGAAGCTGCATCATTGGGGGCCGCACTTAGAGGGGTTGCAGCCGGCACCACACTTTTACGCGTGCGTGGCTGAGACCTTTGGCCTTTTGAGCGAGCTACAGTTTTTGGGGCTCTGCGCAAAGAGGATAGCACAGCGGAGGAGGGACAGGGGAGGGGGGGGATGATGGATCGACACAGATATTTGAGGCAGGACTCACTACACGCCTCTCCGTGGCACTGCAGCGCGCGCAGGCTCAATGCATCATCCGGCATGCAGTGCGGCAGTTGGGGGGGTCTGACGACGGGTGGATGCCCGCACCAGTCCCACTGAGTGCGGGGCAGGGTACATGGCACCACATCACAGGGTGCTTCGAGACTGTTGCTAACATGCAATATATAGATGATGCAAATGTGAAAAAAAAAAAATATGTATATATATATATATATAGAGTGGCTGTGCTTGAAACGCTGTTGTGCGGGTTGCTGCCGTGTTTAGTCCCTTGGTGCTTCCTCCTCCTTAGTCTCTTTCCCTCTCTCCTCTTCACTTCCCACCTCCCTCTTTATTTTCCCTTCTTCTATCATTCTCCTCTCTTCCTACCACTCTCTTCTTTTCCCTACTACTTCTTCTTACTCCTTGACCCTTCCTTCTTCTTTCTTTCCCCTCTTTCCTACAAAATATATACACCGCCCTCATAGCGAATTATTCATGCGGAAATTTCCTATTCTCGGAAAAACCATTATATTCAGCTTGTATTCGCCTTTCCCTGATTAATGAATAAATGCTCTAGCCTTCTGGTACTTAGCTTCGGAGTTCTGATGGGATCCGGCGTAGTAGCCGAGGTATGATCGTACCACGTCGATCCCATGCCCCGACCGGTACAGACCCTTTGCCCGGGCCCCCTCTTAATAGTCATATCCCCTGTCCCCTCATGCCATCTGCTCCCCCTGCCCCTAACCTCCGCATGCCCGCCCCCTCGCCGCCTCCTTTGACCCTCCCTGCCCCCCTCGCCGTTTCCCACCGCCCGCCATTCGTTCCTCCCCGCCCGTGCCCTCCCCTCGTTTACCTTCTCCTCCCCCCTCCCCTCCTCCACTGCACGCTTCTTCCTTCCCCTCACCAACCTACTCCACTCCCTGCCCCTCCTCAATCCGCACCCTGCCCCTCGTTTCTCGGCCCCCTGCGCTTGGTTTCTCCCCTCCCTGCCCCTCGCTGCCTTTCTCCGCTCCCCTCCTCCCCCCTCTCCCCGCTCCCCCACTCTCCCCCCCTTGTCCTTGGCTTCCCACCTCCCTGCCCCATGTTTCCCCCCTCTGTGTGCTCAGCCTCTCCCCTCCCTGCCTCTCCCTCCTCCCGCCCTGCCCCTCATTTTCCGCTCCCCCACGCCCGGTTTCTCCCCTCCCTGCACCTCCCTTTCTTTCTCCATGCCTCTCCCTTGTTCCCTCCCTGCCCCTGGCCGCCCATGCCCCTGTCCTTGGTTTCTCCCCTCCCTGCCCCACGTTTCTTCCCTCCCTGACCTCACCTTGTACCCTCTCTGCCCCTCCTTTGTTTTCCCCGCACCCATCGCTTCTCCCCTCCCTGCCCTTGATTTCCCGCAGCCTTGCCCTTGTTTCCTGCCATCCACGCCCCCCGTTTCCACCCTTTGTACGTTCAGCCTCTTCCCTCCCTGCCCCTCCCTTCCTCCCCCCCTGCCCTGTGCTTTCCCCTTGCTACGCTACCTTTTCCACCTCCCTGCTGCCCTCTCACCACCATCAGCCCATCCCCACCCCCAGCCCCCCTCCCCACCTTCCCTCTCCCCTTCCCCCCCCCTCCTCCCCCCCCCCCCTCTCCCTCTCTCTCTCTCTCTCTCTCTCTCTCTCTCTCTCTCTCTCTCTCTCTCTCTCTCTCTCTCTCTCTCTCTCAAACGGACCTTTGTATTGATATAGATTAGAGATACAGCAGAGGCAAGCAAGCAAGCGACAAACAGGTATGTCTAACTATTCTCCTCCCTACCCCTTCCCCCCCCCTCCCCCCCCCCCCCCCCCAAGTCTTCTACTCGCTACCATTGCCTGGTTCTAGGGTAGCAAAGCACTCCCCCGGGTCCAGGACCCCCTCGGGGCCTCCTAAGGCTGGGTTCTCTTTCTGGGCTGCCAGGTTCATCTTGATAAGGAAGCTCACTGCCTGTGCCCTTTGCAAGGCGACAGACCACCGCTGGCGGAACTGGTGCAGCAGCTTTGCGGCCTGGAAGCTTGAGGGGTCCGCGTTGAAGTGTAAGCGTGCTGCTCTGTCCGCCAGGTGCTTCAGGAAAGCCTGCACCTCGTCGCACGGGCAGCCATAGGTCTCAACTGCCAGCGGGTAAAAGCCCGCAAATTCAGCTCTGCCGTGGTATAGCCCGATTTTCTTATCTGCTGCCTCCCTTGCTGCCCATCCCCGTCCCTTCCTGGCAGTCTCGTCCCGTTTGCTGATAGGGTCGGTGATGGTTATGTCACCCAGCCACACCGCCCCACTGCTTCTGTCCCGGATGGCCAGGTCGGCCTTCTTGTTGTCGACCGGGATAAACGCCATGCTCTCCTTGTGCACTATGAACCCCGCATCCTGAGCCATACGCACGCACTCATCCCTCAGCTCGTTGTGTGTGTTAGTCCATCCATGCCCTGTGCCGCAGCGGAGGAGGTGGTTGGGGAGGCGCATGTCTGCTATGGCGACTCTCTTTGTGCAGTCGCAGTTGTCAGGGATGGGGAGAGGCAGTCCTAGGCGGAACTGGAGGGCGAATGAGAAGAGGTCAGGATCGAGGCGGAAGGAGGGCATGTAGGGGATGGCTATCAGCCAGTCCCCCGCACCGTAACCAGTGAGGGACAATAGCCGCCAGGTGTGGCCGCATTGGGGGTTCAGCTCCATATGTCGTGACGCTGCAACTTGAGCGGCACTTCGTCCACCCTGGACTAAGAGGGCAAGGCGGTGCTGCAGCTGTCCCTTGGGTGCTGCCATTTCTGCCGCCAGCAGGTCCCGTCCCTCCTGTGTGAGGCTTGCCTTGCACTCCCCAAGCCATGTTTGCAGTTGGTTCGGGTCCAGGTCCACCTCCTCTGTCCAGTTCAGGGCGGTGGAGAGGTGAGCTCCTGCGGGGCCGGGCAGGGAGGCTAGGAGTCCGTGCGCCTGGACAAAGCTTGCCAGGTAGCTGTAGCGCCCTTCCACCGATGGGTCCGCCAGCCCCAGGCCTCCCAGGCTTGGGGGGAGGGAAGCCTGGTCCCACACACGTTGTTCCTCCGCATCCCCCCTTGGGTGGCGCACGCCGCAGGCGTCGAGCAGTGTGTGGAGCAGCCTCTGGCCCCACCGTGACCATTCCTCTTCGGGTAGAAGGGTGAGTGGGGTTGTGCGCGCGAGGTATGACATTCGCCTCGAGATGCACCTCGTCAGCAGCAGTGATGCTGCCTGTGGTTCCAGGTCGGCTATCTGCGGGAGAGGGGATGTCATGGCTTGCAGCTGAGCCCGAATAAATGCTACTGCTCCGTCTGGCACGCCGATGAAACTGCCCAGAACACGCAGTCCGTCGTGGCAGAATGGGACCCCTTCCGGCAAGGCCCCCTCCGGTGGTCGGATGGCGCTCCACGCCGCACATTTCCCGGCGTTGTGCCTGAGCCCCATGCTACGGAGGCTGCTCGTGAAGTGGGTGAACGCCGCTGTACACTCCGCCACTCTGCCCAGGAACGTGACATCGTCAGCGAATGCGAGGCAGAGCACGGTCGCGGCGAGGGACGGGTGGATGCCCGCGGGGAAGAGCAAGGGCCCGAGGGGGTCGCCCTGGCGGACCCCTGTAATGCTGGATATGGGAGGGCTATTAAAGCTGGCGTCGAGAAATAGCTCTGACGGCGCGCCGTAAGAGGAGTGAACTAGGGGGAGGATCCCTTCTAGCGTATTTCCACGTAGGCCCGCTACGATTGCCTCGCGACTGATGCTATTAAATGCGTTTGAGAGATCCGCCTGGAGAATCGTGGCGTCACTGTGCGTGCTCATGTATGATCTGGCGGCGTGGATTATCGCCTCGCTACCTCCCTGGACGGCGACGCAGTACTGGAGTGGGAGGAAATGGGCTCGTGCCGCTTCTGCTAGTGAGGAAAGTGCCGATTTTGCCGCGAGGCGTAGGACACACTCTCCTACGGCTATTGGCCGAGTCCCTCCCTCTGGCTTGGCGAGAGCGATTAGGCGGGAGGACGTGAGCAGAGAGCACACCTCTTCGGGGAGTTTCCCTTGGAGTATTGTGTTGACGAAGGCGTGGAGGTGGGTGGTAACGGCTGCGTTGGCGATAGCTGCATCTCTGAGGTGTTCGAACGTCATCCCCGACGGCCCTCCCCCCACTCCGTTTTCGCAGCGGCATAGGATTTTCACGAATGCAGCTGAGGTGATGGTCACCACGTGGGCCTCGTCCGTTGGTGTCCAGTCAATGTGTCCGGGTGGCGTGGGTGGGTGCTTGGATTTAAGTGAATCCAGTACCTCCGGCGTTGGATCTGCCACGGGTGTAGATTCGAGGGCTAGGATGGCCCGCCGAAGACTGCCCTTTCGAACAAGTCCTTCTGCTCTGGCACGTTTTCCCAACTCGTCCGGCTGGTGACGTGGCGCTGGGGGGGAGTTGACCGCTGCCACGGCTGCCTCGTACAGTTGTTCCCATTCGCCCTTGAAAAACTGACGAAGGCGCAACTTCACTGCGGGCCAATCAGGCTTCCCTGGTTTCGCTTGGCGAAGGATTAGGCGGGGAAGAAAGAGTAACAGGCGCCATCCCGGTACTGAGTCAGGGTGGCGTGCGAGGTGCAGCAGGGGTGTCAGCAGCGCGCTTGCGAAACTGGTGCGGATGTCGTGCGGAATTTTGCGGGAGAGGGGGGGCTGACGACTGTCGCGTAGTGGTGTCAGGTCCCAGGTGCGAATTTCGTTGAAGCGGATCATGTCCTTCGCCAGCTGTTCTGGCGAGAATTGGAGTGTTGGTGGTGTGGTGGTGTGGGGTGCGTCTGGGTTTGGTTCCCCCCCAATTCCAGTTTGTACGGATGCGGCTCGGGCGGGTGTTGCAACATTCACTCGACTCTCCACTACTGGAGCAGCTTCCCCACCATCCCCACCACTTCCTTCCGTGGTTGATTCAGCGGCTGGCTGGGCAATAAAGGTGGGGTCTTGCGCCTCATCTGCTTCATCCTCCGCCGCGTTGTTGACATCCGCATCTGTTAAAGCCCGCCTCGCTGCCCGTTGGAAGCCGTTCTCCCGTCCTCGGCCACGCCCCGCAGCTCGCTGCCGCCCGCCTCTGCCCCCACGTAATGCACGTGGCGGTTGGTGGCGGTTCCCCTGTGCCGTATTCGCCGCGGCCGTTTGGCGTGGCGTTAGCTGCGCTTGCCTCGCCGATTCGGTCGGCGCCGGTTGCCCCTGTTGCGGCAATGTCTGTCGCGGGTTCTCCTGCACACGCGTGCTCCACGGTAGTCGACTCTGGACGAGAGTCGGCGGGTGTGGCCGTCCAACCGCGCGTAGTGGCGCCGGCGCCTGAGCCTGCCTTCGTTCTGGCGCCTGCGGCTGACGTGGCGCCTCTCCCTGCTCCTGGCGCGGCGCCCTCTCCCGCGCTTCACCTTCCGGTGTTGCCGTCGCCTGCTGAGACGGCGGCTGTTGCTGGGGTGGCACCTACGTCTGGCTTGGCGCCGCCTCCTGCGCCTGAGGCGCTGCCTGTGGTGTCTCCTGCTGCATCCTCTGATGCACCGGGCGGGAAGTCTGCCCCTCCGCTCCCCGCGGCTTCCGCGTCTGCCCATGCCCTTCCTCCGGCTGTGCAGCAGCGTAACTCCCGTCCTCATTCGCACTCCCCCCAAGATGAGCGGGATGTGTCTCGTCGGTGGCGTGATTCCCCTCGCCGACGGCAGCCGCCGGCGGACTGGCATATGCGCCAGGGTGGTTGGAGGGGGGGTCGCGGTCACGGGCGTGGCGGGTGGCTGGACGCGCCAGCAACAATCGCGGACGTGCGGCAGATTGTGACTGAGGCGTTTCGCGACGGTCAGGCCGGCCCGGCGAGTCTGAACAGCTCGCGACGTGCGGCTCCAACGCCGTCTGCTCCCTTTCCGGTTGCTCCCCCCGTGGTTGCTCCGACGCCCGCGGTGTCCCTGCCGACTCCCTCGGCCCCTGCTCGTGGTGGTGGGGCTGGACTTCCTCGCCTACAGCTCCCTTCCCTGGCGGAGGAGCTCCTTCCCCCGCGCGCCGAGGTTCCGGTGGCGACGCTTGGCCAGTTATGGAGGCTCTCGGAGAGCCTCCGTGCCCTCCTGCTTGTGCAGTCCCTGGCGCACGGGTCTCTTCCGCCTGTTCCAGCGGAATCTCTGCTTGACGGTCCGCGGGACGACTGTCTTGACGCGGCCGACCAGATTGCCCTCCTCCTAGCGCCTGTGTTGGCCGCGCCCGTGCGGGGAGGCGTTGGGGCTGTGGGGCAACTGGACGCGGCTGTGCGGGACTTATGGAGGTACCTGCGGGCAGGTTCCGGAGCCGACGCGATTGGCGCCGCCACTCTGGTGGTCCGCTCGGTGTGGCTGACGATGTCGGGCATTCTGCATGCCCTGCAGGCGGATCGGATGTAGCACCCCCCGTGGCTTGATTCATGGTTGACGCTGTCCTTGACGCGGATCAGATGTAGGATCCCCTCGTGCTTGTCCCATGTTGTTGATAGTAGATGGGACCCCCTGCCATGACTGTTCGCCTGTGCGTTATAATTGCATCTGCCTGCGATGTGCTTGTTATTCCCTCACGCGCGGCCGAAGGCCGCGCTGTCGAGCGTCGGCCGCCGAAGGCGGCCGGCGCGAGCCGCTCGGTTAGGAGAGCAAAATGAACCCAGAATTGAATAATGAGGCTCTAGGACAAGGTCCTAGGGCCATTATACTTGGCTGGAGAGGGCTGGAGAGGCTAAGGACTAGGGCCTCTCTCTCTCTCTCTCTCTCTCTCTCTCTCTCTCTCTCTCTCTCTCTCTCTCTCTCTCTCTCTCTCTCTCTCTCTCTCTCTCTCTCTCTCGCTCTCTCTCCCGCTCGGTTAGGAGAGCAAAATGAACCCAGAACTGAATAATGAGGCTCTGGGACAAGGTCCTAGGGCCTTTATACTTGGCTGGAGAGGGCTGGAGAGGCTAAGGACTAGGGCCTCTCTCTCTCTCTCTCTCTCTCTCTCTCTCTCTCTCTCTCTCTCTCTCTCTCTCTCTCTCTCTCTCTCTCTCTCTCTCTCTCTCTCGCTCTCTCTCCCGCTCGGTTAGGAGAGCAAAATGAACCTCTCTCTCTCTCTCTCTCTCTCTCTCTCTCTCTCTCTCTCTCTCTCTCTCTCTCTCTCTCTCTCTCTCTCTCTCTCTCTCTCTCTCTTTCCCCTCCCCCCCCACCCCCCACCCGCATCCTCCCTTTCTGCCCCTCCCTGCCCCTGTTCCACCCCCTCGCACGCCCCTCACCTCCCACCTCCGTGCAACTAGTTTCCCCCCTGTGGTGCTTCACTTGCATCGCCCGCCCCTCTGCTCACCCGCTGCTCTCGCCCACCGGCGCTTAGCTTCGGAGTTCTGATGGGATCCGGCGTAGTAGCCGAGGTATGATCGTACCACGTCCATCCCGTGCCCCGACCGGTACACACCCCTTGCCCGGGCCCCCCCTTCATAGTCACACCCCCTGCCCCCTCATGCCATCTGCTCCCCCTGCCCCTAACCTCCGCGTGCCCGCCCCCTCGCCGCCTCCTTTGACCCTCCCTACTAAGGAGGCTCCTAAACCTACTATTTCGAGTTGCTTAAGGAGAATCGTGTTAGTAAAGTTGTTTATATCATTGTTCTAACGATTTGTAACGGTGAGTTTTTGTGTTTCGACGGAGTGGTTCGCGCTGGTGGAGATTGTCGAGAGGATCGCAAGGGTCCCGCGTTTAGCGGGAACCCCTCGCGAACTGGGCGAAATGGTCCGCGCCTGACTGAGGCGAGCGCGGAGTTGCGGGAAAATAACGGGCGAGGTGGAGCGAGTCGTTTTTTTTTTGCGCGGTTACACACCCGGGGGCGAGTTCGACTTTGCTCCTGCCAGTAACGTTGCTCCCGCCCTAACTCTCCCCCCTTCTATTTCCTTCCCGATCCCCTCTCTCTCGACATTCGACTATAGTTCCTTTTTAGTTTAGACTTTTAGGAGACCCGTTTTCCTAGCAAATAGCTGCGCGCGACTCGTTTATTTTCGTGCCCCCCCGCTTAACACATCGACTGCTTACCTCCGTTAGCACGTGACTTTTAGCCGTCGCGAAGGGAAACACTTGAGGCGGCGAAACCGTCGTTTTTATATAGCGGCGGTTACGCGGCCCCCCCTTTCCCCTGCCGCGATCGATTTATTTCCTTCGGCGCCCAGCCGTTTTTAGGGCACATACGCGCCGACGCAACTCTACCACCGCTTCTATCTCTACCTCCCACCCTAATTCGACCATATCTGTCACATAGCTTCGGTTTGGACGGGTGGAAGGGGTAGGAACGCAAGAGCCGCCCGTACGGACGTGTCGCTCGTCTCGCCAGCTTGCATAGCTAGCATGAATTGCCGCCAGCACTGCCTAAACAGTCCGCCGCTTGCTTCGCCCACGCTTCCGCCGCTAGCAGCCACATACGCGCCGCTAGCAGTCACATACCCGCCGCTAGCAGTCGCGTTCCCACCTCTAGCAGTCGCGTACCCGCCGCTAGCAGCTACATACCACCTCTAGCAGCCACGTACACACCGCTAGCAGTTGCATACCGGCCGCTAGCAGTTACATACCACCGCTAGCAGCCACGTACACACCTCTCCCCTCCCTGCCTCTCCCTCGCTCCCAGCTACTCTCCTAGCAGTTGCATACCCACCGCTAGTAGTGAGGTACACGCCGCTAGTGGTCACGTACCCGCGGATAGCATTGCCCACACCCTAGAAACACAACCAAAGTAAGAAAGAAAGAAAGAAAGAAGGAAAACGGAAAAAAGAAAAAAGAACAAATACATCCAGTAAGAGGAACAGGTTCCAAGGCGTGCCATTGCCCCCTCTGCCCCGCCCCTTCTCCCCCCCCCACCCACACTCCCCATCTCCACCTAAATGCTCCCCTACTCCCCTCCCTGCAGCGTACCCCCTCTACCCCCCCACCTGTCTTTCTCCCGCTGCCCACCCCCACTCTGCCCCCCACCTCTCTACGAGCCGTGCACACCCTTCCAGTCGCCTTTCCCCCCTCACCTGTACCCGGCGTGGGCAACACCCCAGCATCCCTTCCCCCCTGTCCTCCCAGCGCTCCACCCGTCCCTCCCCGGCACCAGACAGTTTCTCCCATCGGCAGCCAACCCCTACACCCCCTGCACCTGCCCCCTGTGCCTTCTACCCCCCTCCCCCGACCCACGCCAGTCACCCCCTCTCTTAATATCCTCCATCTACACTCCCCCTTGGGGGCCGCCTCTCCCCTATTATCACCTATCTCCGTTTCCCCCACCCCCTCTGTCCTTTGTGCTCCAGCCCCCCACTTCCTTTTCCTTGTCCCACAGCGCCTCCTTCAGGTGCCCTCTCTGTCCTCCCACTTTCACACCACCCGCCCCTCAACCCCTTCATCACCCTCCACAAGGCTCACGCCAGCCCGACCACTCGCTCCCCCACCAACTACCCTTCGCCCCTCCCCTTCGGCCCTCCCCCTTTCCCTCCCTCCTAGGCCCTACCTGCCCACCCTCACCTCCCGTTGACTTCTGTCCCGGCCCCCCCCCTTCTGCTGCAACACCCTTCTCCACACCCTGCTCACCCCCCGCTACACCACCTCCCCTTCCCCACCTCCCCTGCACCCTGCCACCACCTCCCCTCCTTTCTGTCCTCCAGCCCGTCCCCCCCTTGGTCCCCCATCCTCTCCAACGGCCTCTCCTCGGCACCAGACCGCCTCCCCCTCCCCCGGCCAACCTCTACACCCCCAGTTCCTGCCCCTTGTGCCTTCCAGCCCCTCTTCCCAACCCCCCCCAGTATCCCCCTTCTCCAGTACCCTCCATATTCCCTCCCCCCTGGGGCTCGCCCCTTCGCTACTATCACCTTTCCCTGGCCCCCCAATCCCCTCCGTCCCCTGTTTTCTAGTCCCCTCTTACCACAGCTCCTCCTTTCGGTGCCCTCTCCGCTCTCCCACATTCTCACCCCCCGCCCCCCAACCTCCTCACTACCCACTACCAGGCTCACGCCAGTTCTACCACCCTCCCCCTCCCCCTCTGTACCCCCCCCTTCCTTCCCCCCTTGCTCCACCTGACCATCCCCACCTCCCGTCGAATTCTGCCCCGCCTCTCCTCACTTCGGCCCCACCACCCGGCTCACCCCTCGCTACATCACCCCTGTTCCCCCACCTCCCCTGCAATCTGCCGCCACTTCCTCTCCCCTTTGTCCCCCAGCCTGTCCCCCCCCTGATCCCCCATCCCCCCCAAGGTCTGCCCCCTTTTACCCTTTCTTGATCCCACCACGCACCCCTGTCCCCACCCTCTTCCCTTCGTTTTCCAAGCTACCCCCTCCCACCCTGGCCTCTGCCAGGGAGTTTCTACCCCCTTTGACGCCCTTTCCAGCCAATTCCAGCCACCCACATCGTCACCACCAGGCATGCCGTATCTGTGACAATGCCCCAGCACGCCGCGAGTGGGGGAAAAGCAGACCCGGGAGCCCCTCGGCGATCTGGGAGGGCCCGCATCCGAGCCACCCCCTACGCACCCACACCCCCCACTTCAACAGTCAGGAAGAAACAACCCACACCTGACCAAGCGAAAGCACTCAAACACTCTGACCCTAGAGGCCAGAAGCGTACCCTTGAAGAGGATGGAACAGAGGAACACCTAGCCCAAAGGGAAGGAACACACGAAGAAGCGCCAGCACGCTCAAAACCCCGCCCCAACCCCGCTGCCCCACTCCTGCCCACCCTCCATCCAGATGATACCGGGGGCACCCGTGCAGGCTCTGTGGAGAGGTCCTCTAACCCACCCACTACCTCCCACTCCCAGGCCAAAAAACAAATGGAAACACCAAATCCCGCCCGCACACCCAAGCACACAGAAGTGGGGGAAGGCAGAGCCGGTGGGGAATCTGCAACAAACGCTACATGGAAAGGGGTGAGGGAGGCTATGGGGGAAAGGGCAGCAGAGGCCACACGGGAAGGGCCAGCAGAGGCTGCGGAGGAAGGGGCAGCAAAGGCTGCAGGGGAAGGGGCAGCAGGGGATGCACGGGAAGGGGCAGCAGAGGCTGCAGGGGAAGGGGCCGCAGGGGCGGCATGGGAAGGGGCAGCAGAGGCTGCAGGGAAAGGGGCAGGAGGGGTTGCACGGGAAGGGGCAGCAGAGGCTGCAGAGGAAAGGGTGGCAGGGGCGGCCGAATACAGCACCAGAGTAGCAGGGGGGGCTGCAGAGACCACAGCAAGTGAGGCTGCAGAGACAGCTGCAGGGGAGGCTGTAGAGACCGCAACAGGCGAGACTGCAGGGACCACATCGGGCGAGGCTGCAGGGACTGCAGCAGGTGGGGCTGCAGGGACCACAGCAGGCGAGGCTGCAGGGTTAGCAGCTGGTGAGACTGCAGGGACCGCAGCAGGAGAGAATGCAGAGACCGCAGCAGGTGGGGCGACAGGGACCACAGCAGGTGAGACCGCAGGGACTGCAGCAGGGGAGGCTGCAGAGGAAGGGGCGGCGGAGGCCGCAGAGGAAGGGGCAGCAGAGGCTGCAGAGGAAGGGACAGCTGAGGCGGCAGAGGAAGGGGTAGCAGGGGCTGCAGAGGAAGGGGCAGCAGAGGCTGGAGAGGAAGGGGCAGCAGGGGCTGCAGAGGAAGGGGCAGCAGAGGCTGCAGAGGAAGGGGCAGCAGGGGCTGCAGAGGAAGGAGCAGCAGAGGCTGCAAGGGAAGAGGCAGCAGAGGCCGCAGGGGAAGAGGCAGCAGAGGCTGCAGAGGAAGGGGCAGCAGAGGCTGTAGGGGAAGAGGCAGCAGAGGCTGCAGGGGAAGAAGCAGCAGGGGCTGCAGGGGAAGGGGCAGCAGAGGCTGCAGGGGTAGGGGCAGCAGAGGCTACAGGGGAAGGGGCAGCAGAGGCTGCAGGGATAGAGGCAGTTGAGGCCTCGGCAGAGGTGGCAGAGGCCCCAGCAGGGGCGACAGTGGCCCCAGCAAGGGCGGCAGAAGACCAAGCAGGGGCGGTAGAGGCCCCAGAAGGGGCGGCGGAGGCTCCTGCAGGGGTGGCGGAAACCACATCTGGAGCGGCAAGTGGGGGAATGGGTGCTGCCAGTGAAGTGCCAGCAGTAGGTCCGGACGCGGTGGAACAAGGGACAATGGGGACAGGAGAGAAGGGAACGGGTCAGTCCAAAGGAGAAGTAGACGAGGTGGTTATGACCCTTTCGGGGGGGGACGGGATAGGGGACCTGATGCTCATCGATGGCCCTCTGGCCCACTACCTCACCCTCACGGACGGGGACGACAGAGACCCCTCGCTGCCCCATGGGGAGGCCTCCCCCACTCCCCCACTCCCAAACCCCATGCCAGCAGGTGGACCAAGGGAGGAACCAGAGGAGACAACGAGGACGAGGTTTTCGGAGGGCGCCCCCATCCACCTTTACCCCTCAGCCCACCCTCCCCCAGGAACATCCCCCCCACGCCCCCACCCCGGCAGGCACTCCCATGCGATAGGCGGGGCAGCCAAGGCCAGGGCTTTCTTAGAGGAGCCCTGCTCCCCGACCCCGGACACCCAGCCCCTACCTCCCCCCCCACCAGGCCCCCCCCCTCCCACAGCGGTACACATCTCTGAGGTGTTGGGTCCAACCCCATACTCCCACTCCACGCTCTCCACACCTCTGTTCCGCCACCCCTCCCATCACCTCCCCCAGGCCGGTGGGAGCAACACACAGGGACCATGCCCATCGGCACAAAGGGTCGAGGGAGTGTGTGGTGATAGGAACACCCAGGGCAGCACCCCTCATAAGGACAAGCCCCGGAACCCACCCCCTCTTTCCACCCCTCCAACTCCACCCCCATCACAACCTTCAACCTCCCAGCCCCTAGCAGCTAATCCCAGCCGTTACACCATCCCACAACGTCGCTCTCCACCTGCACCTTTGGCTGCCCACCTCTGTGGATCGAACCAACCAGCACTTCTTGCCGCTCCACAGGGTTCAAGGGGAGATGGAAGGGGGAATCGTACCGGGCCGTCACCCCCTGCCCACGCTGTCACTCAGACCTCACTCCCCCCACCGCAGGCACAACGCCCTAATGGGAGCATAACTCCAGCCCTTCGCTCCCCACCCACAAACCCCCTCTTTGGCCCCCTTCCCCACGAGGGGCCCCGTCGGACAGCCATTGCCCCCCCCGCACAGTCCACCCGGCCGGCCCCCACGGAGGGAGATGCCATGGAGAGGGAGGAGATGCGAATGGAGCTCCCCCCACCTGGCCAACCACCCACGCTCCCCCCACTCACTCCCACGGCCCCTCAGCCCCCCCTTCCCACACCAGCAGGCACGGACAACCAAAACCAGGTTGGCCGCCGACGGAAGAAGGGAGGCAAAGGCGGCAAGGGGTCAGCTCACCTACTCCCCCCTCCCTCCCTTCCCCCCCAGGCGCCCCTCCTCACCTCACATCCCGCTGAACCCGCACCAGGCCTTACCCCTATGGGCCAACCAACACACACACACCCCCCTCCCGTTCCTGCCCCTCCGCAGGGCCATGGGAGCGTTCCAGCCCACGCACCCTCGGGCTGCCCCCCCCCTCCTCTAAACCCCCCCCAGGTGGCGGCAGCAGCGTACGTCATCGGGATGGGGGCCGATGAGAGGAGGGATGCGCCAATGGCATACGCTACCGACTCCTCTTCCCATACCTCCCACCCCATTCGGGTCGGTGGCCCCTTTCCGCAACCCATGGACTCTGGAGAGAGCCAAGGGGGCTCTCGAGAGCAGGGACCATACCCGAGCTCTGCTCAGCCAGCACGCCCCACCCCACCCCCTACCCTGCCGGCCCTTCTCCCCTTGCCAGCAGGCAGGCAGGCTACCGAGACCCCACAGGAGGTGAGGGCCGCCATCTCAGACTTGCTGGCGATACAGAGCCCCAGCAGCCCCCCGGACGCCCCCACCCTACCAGTCCCACAGGTCCGGACCCGGACGTATGCGGAGGCCACTCGCTCTGTCCCTTCTTTTACCCCCCCCACTACTCAGCTGGGCTCGTCACTCCCGTGCCCGATGGAGACGGACCTGGTTCCGAGGCCGTGTCACCCGCACCCAGATGTGTTGGCGCCTCCCCCTGTGCAGCCTGTCACCGATGCACTTCCCGTTGTACAGGAGGGCACCAACACCGGGCTCGAGGCCTCCGCTCCCGCCGATACCCCTTCGCCTGGAGTAGCAGAGCCGCCACGCGGACCCCACCCCGCCGAGGGAGAGGAGCACACCATGGCACGCTCTTTTGGCTCACCTCCACATCCTCGCTCTTTGACTACAAGGCCAGTACGGCCGGGGGACCCGACCCCCTCCAGTGTGGCACCATCTCCACCTCTGCCGACACCCCTCCTGCACGAGGTCGGTGAGTCTTCTCCTACCCTCCTCCTAGGCGATCCTCTTGGAGCTCGGGCCGACCATAGGGTCCCTTGTACGGCCAGTTCCGACGCCACAGCCCCGATCGACCCCGCCGACACGGCGACGTCGCCTGACCAGATCGTGAGATGCCCCACCTGCAGGAGCTCTCTCGCGAACCGACGCGCGCTTCAGCACCACACTCCCTTCTGCCATCCTGCGGACGCAGCTCGCAGGGCACAGGCCGTCCATGACACCACCTCGATCCTCCCTTCCCTCTCATAGCCGCGTGCGACCGGGATACAGTTCACTGACGCACAGTGGCAGACGCTCGACTCGGTGGACTGGACGGAGTACTTCTCGCCTGAGCGCATCCATGCACGCCCTCTCCGGCGTGTCCCGGAGAGGGTCCGCGGAGGATATCTCGACGTCCTCAGTGCGATCCTAGCCCGCATTGCCCAGGACCCGGAGGCTGCTGGCCCTACCTTCCTTCTTGCTGCAGCGCCCACCCTTTTCCTTGCTCCAGCGACGCCACCCGACCGCTCACACACGGTGGTCATTGCAACGCGTATCTCCCGCTTTGGTCGAGGTGAGTGGGATGAGCTACTCTCGGATGCACTAGGCCGTCGCACACCCCTCCCTCGGCGCACAGGTCACCGCTCACGCACCGCCACCGATCCCTCCACAGCAGATGAGCGCCGCATTGCACGTTGCCTTCGTCTGGCAGCGTGCAATGAGACCTCACGGGCCTGCGCGGCTCTCGAGTCCGCGGAGGCGGCCCCAGATACACAGGGGACGATACAGCGCCTACGGTCGAAGCACCCCACTGCAGAGAGGCCGACACCAGCTTGGCTCTCGGGTTTCCAGGGGTCTGCTCTGGTGCTCTCGGTGGATCACTTACGTCGCGCGATCTTCACAGCTCCACGGGGCTCCTCGGGAGGTCCGTCCGGTTGGGTCGCTGAGCACCTTCGAGACACTTTCCTAGCTTTCCCTCAGAGTCTCCATTTCCTCCTGGCTGTGTACCAGCAGTGGCTCCGAGGTCGTTGCGCTCCAGCTGCGCGCTCCTTGCTAGCGTCCTCCACCCTCGTGGCTCTGGCGAAGTCGAGCATGGATGTTCGGCCGATTTCCATCGGCGAGGTGTTGGTCCGTATTCTTTTGCGAGCAGTCTGTCTCCAGCTACGTGACCAGGTGGCGAGAGTCTTTTTGGCGTCACAGCAGTTTGGGGTGGGGGTGACGTGCGGGACAGAGGTCGTAGTTAGAGGTGCCCGCCGCGCTCTGGCTGACCACCCAGACTGGGTGGTCCTGCAGCTAGACGTGGCGAACGCCTTTAACTCTTTCCACCGAGACAGGATGTTCCAGGCTCTGCAGGCCAGTCCGGAGTTTCAGTGTCTGATCCCCTTCATCGGCCTCTTCTACGGGACGTCCTCAGACCTCCACTACAGGTCAGGCACGGGAGTGGTCACGATGCACTCGGAGCGTGGCACTCGTCAGGGAGACCCCCTCAGCCCCTTCTTATACGCCCTGACACAGCGCCTTGCCCTGGAGCCGGTTCTGACGGAGGGGGATGTCCAGCTCTGGTCGTACGCCGATGACATGTACGTGCTAGGCCCCCCAGACAGGGTGCTGCACCACTTCACCGAGATCGTGAGGCGCTTGAGCGAGATGGGCCTTGCTGTCCAATCGCACAAGTGCCTCGTTTACCAGACAGAGTCCTTTCAGCTCAGGGATCTGGATGCTTTCACGAGCCTGGGGATCGAGATCGCACGCCGAGGGCTCACCGTGACAGGCGTTCCGGTGGGCACCGTTTCGTTTGTGGAGCACAGCCTCCCAGATCGTCTCGAGAGGATGGGGCGGGTGCTTCCTTGGTTTCCGAGGTTACGCCAGCCCCAGACAGCTGCCCGCCTTCTTTCGGCATGTGTGAGCACTCGTCCGCAGTACCTGTCGAGGACCGTCCCTCCCTCGCCTGCAGTGATCTCTAGTTTTACACGGTGGGACACACGCCTGGGAGAGACTTTCCAGCAGCTTTTAGCGCCAGGGACCTGGGCTTGTCGCGAGGACGTCCGGGAGGCCGCCCTAGACCAGATCTTCCTCCCGATCCGCCTCGGGGGCTTCGGCATTCGTCGCATGGCGCGCATTGCTCCGGTGAGTTACGTGTGCTCTTGGGTGCAGTGTGCACCCATTCTCTGTTCTCTCCCTGCGTGTGGCGAGGTGTTTCGACAGAGCTTCGCTTCAGGTGAGCCAGCGCAGATCGACCGAGCTATGCAGACGGCGCTAGAGGGCCTCCCTCCGGACGTTCTCTCCCTCCTTCCCTCCTGGCCCTCTTGTGCTTCCGCCTCCCCCGATTCCCTTTTTGCAGGAGCGAGCCGCCTTCTGGAGGCGCATGCTTTGGAGGCCGTGCGTGCCCGTCACACCTCTCTCTTACACCTTGCCCGTTTGACTTCCCTTCAGGGCGCAGGTGCAGGAGCGTGGCTGCAGTCGGTGCCGTACGCCGATCCACTGCGCATTCCGGAGGCGCAGTGGCAGGTGGCCTCATCATCCCGTCTTGGTCTCCCTATCCCCCAGTTAGCCCTCACAGGTCAGTGCTCTTGCGGACAGGCGATCGACGACATGACGGTGCCCCATCACGCGGTTCGGTGCCCGCGATTCGGCGTCGCCACGACCATCCACGACACGGTGAAGTTTATGCTTCGAGACTTCGCGGTCGAGGCGGGTTTCGCGGTGAAGGTGGAGGACTCCACGCTGTTCACACAGTTGGAGGCGGCTCGAGCGAGACTGCAGGGACAGCCGGTGGTGGGAGAGGGGACACGGGCTGGGGGGCCGCTGGAGCAGAGGGGCGAGGTGGGACAGCTGGGTAGTGGGGGACGGTGGGGACAGCATCAACTGCGGGGTCGGGTGGCGAGAGGAGCAGGTGGGCAGAGGGGACAGCAGGGGGAGCAGACAGGCCGGGACGGGGAGGGGGGACAGCAGAGGCAGCAGCAGGGGAGCCAACGGAGACCGCAGGCTCAGGGCGCCGCGCCTCCGGGTTTAGGCTCGGGGGTGGGGCAGGGGCGGGAGAAGCAAGGAGCGGACGGAGGTACAGGGGGGGCAGCAGGATCGGGAGGAGAGGACCAGGGAGCGAGAGAGGCAGCAGGGTATCGAGCAGGGGGGTTGGGAGGGTTGGGGGAGGGTAGGGAAGGGGAGGGGAGAGGACAGGTGGGTGGAGGAGAGGACAGGGGGAGAGAAACGACTAGAGAGGGGGCACCGAGGGACCAGACAGGGCAGCAGCCAGCCCAGCAGCAGGGACCAGCCGGACGCACAGGCCGTGTAGGCACCACCTCCTCCTCCCGCATCCCAGACCTTACCTGCCGCGACGTCGGGCAGACTATGATGGTTCTTGTGGATGTCTCTATAGCGGATCCACAACGGGAGGGGAACGTGCAGCTGAGACGGGCGACCCCCACACAGATTGGAGTGGCAGCAGCTAGGCGGGTGCAGGAGAAGCTGCGTCACTGGGGGCCGCACCTAGAGGGGCTACAGCCAGCACCACACTTTTACGCGTGCGTGGCTGAGACCTTTGGCCTTTTGAGTGAGCCGCTGCGTCAGTTTCTAGGGGTCTGCGCAAAGAGGATAGCACAGCGAAGGAGGGATAGGGGAGGGGGGGATGACGGATCGGCACGGATATTTGAGGCAAGAATCACTACACGCCTCTCCGTGGCATTGCAGCGCGCGCAGGCTCAATGCATCATCCAGCATGCAGTGCGGCAGTTGGGGGGTTCCGACGACGGGTGGATGCCCGCACCAGTCCCACTGAGTGCGGGGCAAGGTACATGGCACCACGTCACAGGGTGCTTCGAGACTGTAGCTGACATGCAATATATATATGATGCCTATGTATAAAAAACAATAGTGGCTGTGCTTGAAACGCTGTGCCCGCGCTGTCATATGGGTTGCTGCCGTGTTTGGTCCCTTGGTGCTTCCTCCTCCTTAGTCTCTTTCCCTCTCTCCTCTTCTCTTCCCACCTCCCTCTTTCTTTTCCCTTCTTCTATCCTTTTCCTTTCTTTCTACCACTCTCTTCTTTTCCCTACCACTTCTTCTCACTCCTTGACCCTTCTTTCTTTCCTACAAAATATATATATATACATATATCGTCCTCATAGCGAATTAGTCCTGCCGAAATTTCCTATTTTTGGCAAAACCATTATATTGGGCTTGTATTTGCTTTTCCCTTATTAATAAATAACTGCTCTCGCCCACCGGCGCTTAGCTTCGGAGTTCCGATGGGATCCGGCGTAGTAGCCGAGGTATGATCGTACCACGTCGATCCCGTGCCCCGACCCACCCCTTGCCCGGGCCCCCCCTTCATAGTCACACCCCCTGCCCCCTCATGCCATCTGCTCCCTTTGCCCCTAACCTCCGCGCGCCCGCCCCCTCGCCGCCTCCTTTGACCCTCCCTGCCCCCCTCGCCGTTTCCCACCACCCGCCATCCGTTCCTCCCCGCCCGTGCCCTCCCCTCGTTTACCTTCTCCTCCCCCCTCCCCTCCTCCGCTGCACGCATCTTCCTTCCCCTCGCCAACCTACTCCGCTCCCTGCCCCTCCTCAATCTGCACCCTGCCCCTCATTTCTCGCCCCCCTGCGCTTGCTTTCTCCCCTCCCTGCCCCTCGCTGCCTTTCTCCGCTCCCCTCCTCCCCCCTCTCCCCGCTTCCCCACTCTCCCCCCCTTGTCCTTGGCTTCCCACCTCCCTGCCCCATGTTTCCCCCCTCTGTGTGCTCAGCCTCTCCCCTCCCTGCCTCTCCCTCCTCCCCGCCCTGCCTTCTCCTTGCCCCTCCTCAATCTGCACCTTGCCCCCCTCTCCCTGCCCCTCCTCAATCTGCACCCTGCCCCTCATTTCTCGCCCCCCTGCGCTTGCTTTCTCCCCTCCCTGCCCCTCGCTGCCTTTCTCCGCTCCCCTCTTCCCCCCTCTCCCCGCTTCCCCACTCTCCCCCCCTTGTCCTTGGCTTCCCACCTCCCTGCCCCATGTTTCCCCCCTCTGTGTGCTCAGCCTCTCCCCTCCCTGCCTCTCCCTCCTCCCCGCCCTACCTTCTCCTCCCCCCTCCCCTCCTCCGCTGCACGCGTCTTCCTTCCCCTCGCCAACCTACTCCGCTCCCTGCCCCTCCTCAATCTGCACCCTGCCCCTCATTTCTCGCCCCCCTGCGCTTGCTTTCTCCCCTCCCTGCCCCTCGCTGCCTTTCTCCGCTCCCCTCCTCCCCCCTCTCCCCGCTTCCCCACTCTCCCCCCCTTGTCCTTGGCTTCCCACCTCCCTGCCCCATGTTTCCCCCCTCTGTGTGCTCAGCCTCTCCCCTCCCTGCCTCTCCCTCCTCCCCGCCCTGCCCCTCGTTTTCCGCTCCCCCGCGCCCGGTTTCTCCCCTCCCTGCACCTCCCTTTATTTCTCCATGCCTCTCCCTTGCTCCCTCCCTGCCCCTGGCCGCCCATGGCCCCTGTCCTTGGTTTCTCCCCTCCCTGCCCCACGTTTCTTCCCTCCCTGACCTCACCTTGTACCCTCTCTGCCCCTCCTTTGTTTTCACCGCACCCATCGCTTCTCCCCTCCCTGCCCTTGATTTCCCGCACCCCTGCCCTTGTTTCCTACCATCCACGCCCCCCGTTTCCGCCCTTTGTACGTTCAGCCTCTTCCCTCCCTGACCCTCCCTTCCTCCCCCCCTGCCCTGTGCTTTCCCCTTGCTACGCTGCCTTCTCCCCCTCCCTGCTGCCCTCTCACCACCATCAGCCCATCCCCACCCCCAGCCCCCCTCCCCACCTTCCCTCTCCCCTTCCCCCCCCCCCCCCCCCCTCTCTCTCTCTCTCTCTCTCTCTCTCTCTCTCTCTCTCTCTCTCTCTCTCTCTCTCTCTCTCCCCTTCCCTCCTGGCCCTCTTGCGCTTCCGCCTCCCCCGATTCCCTTTTTGCAGGAGCGAGCCGCCTTCTGGAGGCGCATGCTTTGGAGGCCGTGCATGCCTGTCACACCTCTCCCTTACACCTTGCTCGTTTGACTTCCCATACGCAGTGGATCGGCGTAGATTTTACATTTGTGTAGGCTATAGTGGGGTAGCCCATAAGGGGTACAACCCAATTAGGGTTAGTACTTGTACCCAACTGTTTGCTAGTCCATTCATTCTCGTTCGTTATTTTGACATGGAATCAGAGCAGGTTCCTTGGGCCCACCACCTGCTATGCTGCTAGTACCCCCACCTTAGGCCCGTCGCTCCTAGCCTACGCGGCCCGTCGACCCCAGCGCCCGGCCCCGTCACTAGCCCGCGCCCGGCCCCGTCGGCCCTTAGCCCCGCGCCCGGCCTCGTACCTAGCCCGCGCCCGGCCCCGTACCTAGCCTGCGCCCGGCCCCGTACCTAGCCCGCGCCCGGCCCCGTACCTAGCCCGCGGCCCGTCGACCCCAGCGCCCGGCCCCGTCCCTAGCCCTGCGCACGGCCCCGTACCTAGCCCGGCCCCGTACCAGCGCCCGGCCCCGTCCCTAGCCCCGCGCACGGCCCCGCGCACGGCCCCTTAGCCCCGCGCCTGGCCCCGTACCTAGCCCGCGCCCGGCCCCGTACCTAGCCCGCGGCCCGTCGACCCCAGCGCCCAACCCCGTCCCTAGCCCACGCACGGCCCCTTTCCTAGCCCGCGCCCGGCCGCATCCCTAGCCCGCGCCCGGCCCCGTACCTAGCCCGCGCACGGCCCCGTACCTAGCCCGCGCTCGGCCCCGCACCTAGCCCGCGCCCGGCCCCGTACCTAGCCCGCGGCCCGTCGACCCCAGCGCCCGGCCCCGTCCCTAGCCCGCGCACGGCCGCGTACCTAGCCCACGCCCGGCCCAGTACCTAGCCCGCGCCCGGTCCCGTACCTAGCCCCGCGCCCGGCCCCGTTCCGCGCCTAGCAATCGGCCCCGTACCTGCCCAGCGCCCGGCCCCGTCCCTAGCCCAGCGCCCGGCCCCGTACCTAGCCCGCGCCCGGCCCCATGACACCACCACTCTCACTCCTCTTCCTGCACCTGTTCCGGTCAGACTGGCTGACCCCTCCGGGGGACCAGTCGTGGTCCGTTCTTCCACTGTCCTCCCGTGTCCGGCGGTTCCGTCCGGCTCACTGTCAAGTCTTCACCTCCCCTCATTCTCTACGAACTTGGTGAGTACCGCTGCCCTCCAAGATGCGATGGTCACTACCATCACTCTTGGGGGTCAGTGTGTATCGATCTGCACGTGCACACGGACGAGCCGTCACCTGGCCACGTTCACTCGTCGGCCAGGGTCGAGTCTGTACACACTCGCTACCGAGCCCTCTCAGGTAGCTGCGTCTGCTCAGGTGTCCGCGTCAGGTCAGGTAGCCGCATCTTGCTCGTGTCGCCTTCTGTCGCACGGCACCACCGCCTGGGTCACCCCTCCCTGCCTCGCCTTCATGGCATGCACTCTCGTCTTCTTGTCTCTGGTCTACCCAGGTCTCTGCCTCCCCTGCCGCCCTCGCCTGCCCCGCCCTGCCTCCCTTGCGTCGAGGGGCGGCAGCGCGCCGCTCCTCATTCCTCGTTTCCCCCAACGACTGCTCCCCTGCAGACTCTCCACATGGATGTGTGGGGCCCAGCCCGCGTTAGTGGACAGAGCCGCGAGCGCTACTTTCTGCTGGTAGTTGACGACTACACGCGGTACACCACGGTCTTCCCCTTGCGCAGCAAGGGTCAAGTCGTTGATGTCTTGATCCCTTGGATCCGCATGGTCCGTCTCCAGCTCCGCGAGCGGTTCGGCCAGGACCTTCCTGTCCTGTGTCTGCACTCTGACAGAGGTGGTGAGTTCTCCTCCAACCTCTTGCGGGACTTTTGTTGTGGGGAGGGCATTCTCCAATCGTTCACGCTTCCGGACTCCCCTCAGCAAATTGGGATTGCTGAGCGCCGCATTGGCTTAGTCATGGAGGTCGCTCGTACCTCCATGATCCATGCGGCTGCTCCCAATTTTCTGTGGCCGTTTGCGGTCCAGTACGCTGCGCATCAGCTCAACCTCTGGCCCCGTGTCTCCTTGCTGGAGACCTCGCCCACACTGCGTTGGACGGGGGAGGTTGGCGATGCGTCGGTGTTCCGGGTCTGGGGATCTCGTGCCTTTGTTCGCGATACGTCACCGGACAAGCTCTCCCCCCGTGCTATCCCCTGCGTCTTCCTTGGCTTTGTCCCCGACGCGCCTGGCTGGCAGTTTTACCACCCCACCTCGCGCCGTGTCTTCCCTTCTCAGGACGTCACGTTTGACAAGTCGGTTCCCTTTTACCGTCTCTTCCCCTACTGCTCTGCCCCTCCCCCGCCCCCGCCGTTCTTCCTTGCTCCCGGTCCCCCTCCGGTAGACCCCCTCCCGCCCCAGGGTCCTGCTCCCTCAGGTGTGTCTCAGGTAGACCCTCTCCCTGGTCCTGCGCCGATTCAGGTAGCTGTCGATTCAGGTGCTGCTCGAGGTGCTGCGTCTGAGGGTGATGCATCTGGGGGTGCGGAGCCTGGGGGTGCGGAGTCTAAGGGTGCTGAGACTGGGGGTGCTGAGCCTGGGGGTGTTGAGACTGGGGGTGCTGTGCCTGGGGGTGTTGCGACTGGGGGTGCTGAGCCTGGGGTTGCTGAGCCTGAGGGTGTTGAGCCTGGGGGAGTTGCGTCGGAGGGTGCGGAGTCTGGAGGTGCGGAGCCTCAGGGTGCTGCTTTGTCTGGAGGTTCTGCTGGTGCTTCGCCGAGCTTGACTCCGCAGCAGTTGCGTGAGTGGTTTGTTCGGCGTACGCGCCTTCGGAGTAGAGCTTCTGGAGCTGGAGGTGCTTGCCCTGCTGGAGCTGGAGGTCTTGGAGTTTCTGCTGGAGCTGGTGTTACTGGAGGTGCTGCGACCACTGGTCCTGGAAGTGCTCGTACCCGGGGTACTGGAGCTGCCGGGACTGGTGGTGTTGAGGGTACTAGAGCTGGAGACCTTACGGAGTCTGGTACTACTGGCGCTGGTGGCGCTGGAGCTGGAGGAGCTGGAGTTGGTGACCCTGGCGCAGGAGGTGCTGGAGTTGGAGGCCCTGGGTTTGGAGGTGCTGGAGCTGGAGGAGCTGGAGTTGTTGACCGTGGTGGCGCTGTGCAGCCGCGACCGTACTTCGTTCCCCTGCTCCAGCAGGTTCTTGGTACCCCGCCTTCTGCTGCCCTTACTCCTCCCCTCCTGTGTCCCTCGCCTGACCAGTCGCAGCCGCCGTTGCAGCCGGCCTCTCCTCTGCCTGCTCCTTCTCCTTACACTGAGCAGTCCGGTGGTCTTACAAGGCGTCGTGAGCCTGCGTCTCGTCCTCTCGCCTGTTCGCACTGCTCGTCACGTTCCTCGTTCGCGTCCTCCTCCTGTCCCTGGCACGCACGCTATGACCATTCGTCCTTCCTCTGTTCCTCTGCGTGTTCCTCTGCCTGCACCTCCCCAGTCCTCTCTTCCTTAGGTCCCTGACCCTGAGTCTGACCGCACTCGTGCTGTCAGTCCCACTGTCTCTCGTCTCCTCGCCACTGCTGTCAGTGACCCTTCTTTTGAGTCTGCTGCTGCGTTTGCTCTCATTGCTGAGCTGCTTGAATTTGCTGCTGCCTGTCGTCTAGACTACGCCACTGCTCTTGTTGCTGAGTCTGCGTCTGCCAGTCCTCCGTCCATGGGGGGTGAGTGTGCTCTTGGCACGGATGTCCTTGTTGACAGGCAGGAGGACTTTGAGTCTCTTGCAGCTGCTGTACCTCGCTTCGCTTCCATGCTGCTTGCCCCTGAGGGAGACCCGGATGCTCCAGACATCCCGACCCCGCGCTCGTACGCAGAGGCGATTACGGGTCCTTACTCCTCTTAGTGGCAGGCAGCCATGGATGCCGAGATGGCATCCCGGAAGTCCACAGGCACCTACGTCGACAAGGTTCCCCCACCTGGGGCGAACATAGTCGATGGCATGTGGATCTTCAGGGTGAAGCGGCCGCCGGGTTCTCCGCCTGCCTTCAAGGCACGCTACGTTGCTAGAGGCTTCAGTCAGAGACAGGGAGTTGACTACTTCCATACCTTCTCCCCCACCCCGAAGATGACTACTCTTCGGGTGTTTCTACACGTCGCTGCTCAGCGTGACTACGAGTTACACTCTCTGGACTTCAGCACAGCGTTCCTGCAGGGCAGCCTGCACGAGGAGATCTTGTTGCGCCGCCCACCTGGTTTCACTGAGTCTTTTCCTGCAGGTACTCAGTGGAGTCTTCGGCGGCCAGTCTACGGTCTCCGTCAGGCGCCTCGCGAGTGGCACGACACATTGAGGACTACACTTGCGGCTCTTGGGTTTGCTCCCTCTACTGCTGACCCCTCGCTGTTTCTACGCACCGACACCTCGCTGCCGCCTTTCTACGTCCTTTTCTACGTCGACGACCTCGTCTTTCCCACTGCTGACACTGAGGCACTGACCCTTGTGAAGTCGGAGCTGCAGAAGAGACACACCTGCACTGACCCGTGTGAACTGTGCAGCTATCTTGGTTTGCAGATCACCCGGGACTGAGCTCGGCGCACCATTACCCTGACTCAGTCACACATGGTGCACCAGGTCCTTCAGCGCTTCGGCTTCCAGTTCTCCTCGCCACAACCCACTCCTCTGTCTACCAGCCACTCGCTCTCAGCTCCACCTTCGGACGAGTCCGTAGAGCTGAGTGGTCCGTACCCAGAGCTTGTGGGTTGCCTCATGTACCTGATGACGTGCACTCGACCCGACCTCGCATACCCTCTCAGCCTCCTGGCTCGCTACGTGGCTCCCGGCAGGCACCGAAAGGTGCACTGGGATGCTGCGAAGAGGTTACTGCGTTACTTGTGCAGTATGTCGGGCATGGGGCTCGTGCTTGGAGGACGGGGTCCAGTTGTCCTCACCGGTCACGCAGACGCTTCCTAGGTTGATGACTCAGCTACGCAGTGGTCGTCACAAGGTTACACCTTCAGCCTTGGCTCTGGCTCTGTCTCCTGGCGGTCTACCCGCTCGTCTTCGGTTCTCAGCTCTAGTTGTGAGGCTGAGATCTACGCTGGGGCCATGGCTGCACAGGAGCTACGCTGGCTCACCTACCTGCTGACTGACTTGGGAGAGCAGCCTCGTTCGCCTCCAGTTATGTACGTAGACAACAAGGCCATGATTGCCTTGTGTCAGGAGCACAGACTGGAGCACATAACGAAGCACATCGCTCTGCGATACTTCCTTGCTCGAGAGTTGCAGCAGCGTGGCCAGCTTCGTCTTGCGTACGTGGCCACTCGAGCCAACACTACTGATGTATTCACCAAGGCACTCCCGCCTTGTTACTGTGTTAGGCCTTGTGCCTACTTTGCCTCACTTGCTTACTGCGTGACTTTGCTTGTACTGTGATCTATACATATACCTGCATGCTTGCACTTGCTAGGGTATGATCACTGTATTGTTAGTTTCTCTTTTATATATAACACTTCATGTGAACTGGCCTTGTGGCCCTTTGCTTGTGCTTGGACTGTGTGGTGACTTAGTGATCCACCCTGAGCTTGCCTTGCTTTTCTTGACTGGTCTTGTGACCACTTGTTCTCCCCCACTTTGCCTATGGGTGTGTGTCGGAACATTACAGCTTTTACATTTGTGTAGGCTATAGTGGGGTAGCCCATAAGGGGTACAACCCAATTAGGGTTAGTACTTGTACCCAACTGTTTGCTAGTTCATTCATTCTCGTTCGTTATTTTGACAACTTCATCATCCCCCAGCTAGCCCTTGCAGGTCAGTGCTCTTGTGGACAGGCGATCGACGACATGACGGTGCCTCATCACGCGGTTCAGTGCCCACGATTCGGCGTCGCCACGACCATCCACAACACGGTGAAGTTTATGCTTCGAGACTTCGCGGTCGAGGCGGGCTTCGCTGTGAAGGTGGAGGACTCTACGCTGTTCACTCAGTTGGAGGCGGCTCGAGCGAGACTGCAGGGACAGCGAGTGGTAGGAGAGGGGACACGGGCTGGGGGACTGCTGGAGCAGAGGGGCGAGGGACAACCGAGTAGCGGGGGACAGTGGGGACAGCATCAGCTGCGGGGTCGGGTGGCGAGAGGAGCAGGTGGGTGGAGGAGAGGAAAGGGGGAGAGAGACAACCGGAGAGGAGGCACCGAGGGACTAGACAGGGCAGCAGCCAGCTCAGCAGCAGGGACCAGTCGGACGCACTGGCCGTGTAGGCACCTCCTCCTCCCGCACTCCAGACCTCACCTGCCGCGACGTTGGGCAGACTTTGATGGTTCTTGTGGATGTCTCTATAGCGGATCCACAGCGGGAGGGGAACGTGCAGCTGAGACGGGCGACCCCCACACAGATTGGAGTGGCAGCAGCTAGGCGGGTGCACGAGAAGCTGTGTCACTAGGGGCCGCACTTAGAGGGGTTGCAGTTGCCACCACAATTTTACGCTCGGGTGGCTGAGACCTTTGGCCTTTTGAGCGAGCTGCAGTTTCTGGGGCTCTGCGCAAAGAGGATAGCACATCGGAGGAGGGACAGGGGAGGGGGGGATGACGGATCGGCACGGAAATTTGAGGCAAGAATCACTACACGCCTCTCCGTGGCACTGCAGCGCGCGCAGGCTCAATGCATCATCCAGCATGCAGTGCGGCAGTTGGGGGGATCTGACGACGGGTGGATGCCCGCACCAGTCCCACTGAGAGCGGGGCAGGGTACATGGAACCACATCACAGGGTGCTTCGAGACTGTTGCTGACATGCTATATATATATATGATGCATATGTGCTTGAAACGCTGTGCCCTCGCTGTCGTGCGGGTTGCTGCCGTGTTTGGTCCCTTGGTGCTCCCTCCTCCTCGATCCTCTTTCCTTCTCTTCTCTTCTCTTCCCACCTCCCTCTTTCTTTTCCCTTCGTCTATCCTTCTCCTCTCTTCCTACCACTCTCTTCTTTTCCCTACTACTTCCTTTTCTTACTCCTTGACCCTTCCTTCTTCTTTCTTTCCCCTCTTTCCTACAAGATATATACACCGTCCTCATAGCCATTCAGTCATGCCGAAATTTCCTATTCTCGGAAAAACCACTATATTCGGCTTGTATTTGCTTTTCCTTATTAATGAATAACTTCTCTCGCCCAATGGCATTTAGCTTCGGAGTTCAAATGGGATCCGGCGTAGTAGCCAATGTATGATCGTACCACGTCGATCCCGTGCCCCGACCTGTACACACCCCTTGCCTTCTCATGCCCTCTGCTCCCTCATGCCCGGGGCCCCCCTTCATAGTCACACCCCCTGCCCCCTCATGCCATCTGCTCCCCCTGCCCCTAACCTCCGCATACCCGCCCCCTCGCCGCCTCCTTTGACCCTCCCTGCCCCCCTCGCCGTTTCCCACCGCCCGCCATTCGTTCCTCCCCGCCTGTGCCCTCCCCTCATTTACCTTCTCCTCCCCCCTCCCCTCCTCCGCTGCACGCTTCTTCCTTCCCCTAGCCAACCTACTCCACTCCCTTCCCCTCCTCAATCCGCACCCTGCCCCTCGTTTCTCGGCCCCCTGCGCTTGGTTTCTCCCCTCCCTGCCCCTCGCCGCCTTTCTCCGTTCCCCTCCTCCCCCCTCTCCCCGCTCCCCCACTCTCCCCCCCTTGTCCTTGGCTTCCCACCTCCCTGCCCCATGTTTCCCCCCTCTGTGTGCTCAGCCTCTCCCCTCCCTGCCTCTCCCTCCTCCCCGCCCTGCCCCTCATTTTCCGCTCCCCCACGCCCGGTTTCTCCCCTCCCTGCACCTCCCTTTCTTTCTCCGTGCCTCTCCCTTGTTCCCTCCCTGCCCCTGGCCGCCCATGCCCCTGTCCTTGGTTTCTCCCCTCCCTGCCCCACGTTTCTTCCCTCCCTGACCTCACCTTGTACCCTATCTGCCCCTCCTTTGTTTTCCCCGCACCCATCGCTTCTCCCCTCCCTGCCCTTGATTTCCCTCACCCCTGCCCTTGTTTCCTACCATCCACGCCCCCCGTTTCCGCCCTTTGTACGTTCAGCCTCTTCCCTCCCTGCCCCTCCCTTCCTCCCCCCGTGCCCTGTGCTTTCCCCTTGCTACGCTGCCTTCTCCCCCTCCCTACTGCCCTCTCACCACCATCAGCCCATCCCCACCCCCAGCCCCCCTCCCCACCTTCCCTCTCCCCTTCCCCCCCCCTCCTCCCCCCCCCCCCCCCTCTCCCTCTCCCTCTCTCTCTCTCTCTCTCTCTCTCTCTCTCACTCTCTTTCCCCTCCCCCCCCCACCCCCCACCCACATCCTCCCATTCTGCCCCTCCCTGCCCCTGTTCCACCCCCTCGCACGCCCCTCACCTCCCACCTCCGTGCAAATGGTTTCCCCCCTGTGGTGCTTCCCTTGCATCGCTCGCCCCTCTGCTCACCCGCTGCCCGCCCTTTTCCTTGCCCTCAGCTGGCCCAGCCCCTGCCCGTTGCTGCCCCTCCCCTTGCCCCCTCAACTCCCCTGCCCCCCGTACACCCCACTCCCGTCGAACCGCCCCCGCCCTCCCCCGGCTGCCCGGTTTCGCTCTCCACCCCCCCGACCGTGTGCGGCTTCCAACCGCCCAACGGTGGTGCGCACGGGGCGTTTCTTTGCACGGGCAAGCCTCCCCGGGGGGGACCCACCCCGCTGAGTTGTTGTTCGGGCAAAAAAGTCAAAACAAAAATATCGGACGCGCTAAAATCGTCCTTTCTTTTTCCCGCTTGCCCCTCCCCGGCACGTGCCGAGCAAGGGGCATAAATGGGTACAACACGAGGACTTCCCGGGAGGTCACCCAGCTCAGTACTGCTCTCGCCCACCGGCGCTTAGCTTCGGAGTTCTGATGGGATCCGGCGTAGTAGCCTAGGTATGATCGTACCACGTCTAACGGTTAGTTTTTATGTTTCGTCAGAGCGGTTCGTGCTGGTGAAGAGAGTCGAGAGGATCGCAAGGGTCCCGCATTTAGCGGGAACCACTTGCGAACCGGTCGAAATCATTCGCGCCTGACTGAAGCGAGCGCAGCGTGGCGGACGTCTTGAAGCCTCCACCCAGCAGCACCTCCTCCAGCTTCTCGTACCAGCACCTGGGCGCTTGCGTAAGGCCATAGATAGCCTTCTTGAGCTTGCACAACCGGCTGGTCCCATCCTCATAGCCATCGGGCTGCGCCATGTAGATATCCTCGAGCAGCACTCCATTGAGGAACGTAGTGGTGATATCCATCTGCTTCACGTGCCATCCCTTCACAGCTGCGCCAGCCAGCAAAGTCCTTAGTGTCACTGGCTTAGCAATGGGAGCGAAGATCTCCCCCAAGTCGACCTTCTCTTTCTGCTGAAACCTCTTGGCGACCAAGCGGCTCTTGAACCGCTCCAGCGCACCATCAGCTCCACTCTTCACGTTGAAGACCCACTTGCTGCTAATCGGCCGTCGCCCCTCGGGTAACTCAACAAGCTCCCAAGTCCCATTCTCAATGAGACTGTTGGATTTTCGCATCCATGGCAGCCTTCCACTCCTCCTCTGGGGTCCACTCAGTGCCTCCTCCACTGTAGCTGATTCTCCAGGCAAGGGTGTGAAGAAACAGAAGGCCATCTCCTCATCCTCTCCCTCGTTCGCTTGAACCGCCATGGCACCTTGCTTGGGTCCTCCCAAACGACTATACTTCAGCCTTGAAGGTGGCGCTGCCACTCTCTTCTCGCGGGTTGCAGTCTGCTGCCCATGTGGTGAAGCTCCTCTCTGCACACTCCTCTTTGTGACCTTGGCGTTTGCAGCAGGTTCGGGCTGAGTTGGTGAGTCCATACGTGCCGACTCATCCTTCAACCCCTCCTCTCCAGCAGGACCAGAAACTTGCTGCTCACCACCGCAATTATGGTCACTGGTCAGCTCTGACCCATGGAGTTCATCAAGGTGCAGCTGAACCTCCTCCACTGCAGAGCGCTCAATCTCCTGCAGATGCAAGCCAATCTGCACCTGCTGCTGCCAGTTTTTGTACATGACGTCCTCCACAAACTTGACGTCACGGCTGACCAGCGACTTCTTGCTCTTGGGGTCCCACATCAGCCACCCCTTTGAGTCAGGAGCCATCCCAAGATGGACAGCCCACATAGCAGCAACTTCATGCTTGTGCCTCTTCTCCTTAGGCACCATCACAAGCCCCATGCAGCCCCACACCCGCAGCATGTCAATGGATGGCTTCTTTCCAAGCCAACGCTCATATGGCACCTAGTGCTTGTCGCCAACATGCGTCAAGACCCTGTTCTTGACCGTGATCACATGGCGAACAGCTTCAGGCCAGAACTTATCGGGCATCCCGGCAGCCCCCAACAGGGTCTTAGCCGCCTTGCCAATGGTCTGGTTGGCGCGCTCAGCAATGCCGTTCTGCTGCGGTGTTCCAGGGCATGTCAGCTGGTGTCGAATGCCGTTCCTTTTGAGAAACTTAGTGAATTCCGCTCCAAGGAACTCTCCACCACGGTCGCTCCTCAGCACCTTCACCATCCGCATCGCTTGCCGCTCCACCATCGGCAACCAATCCTCCTTGATCGTCGCTGCAGCATCGCTCTTCTTGGACAAGGGACGTGCCCACGTGAAACGGCTCCATTCGTCCACCATGGTGAGGAAGTACAGCACTCCCCCAGTCCCCTCTGTCCTCATAGGACCCACCAGGTCCATGTGGCTGCCATAGTGAGCGCCATCTCCTTGCAGTTGCAGCCCATGCACGCACTTCTCCTCGTGCATCACCTCCAATATAGTCACAGCCACGTGTGCGAGTCGCCGATGCCAAGTCTCCCAATCCGCTTGGCCCGAGGTAGCCGACGCCTTCACCGCTGCGCTTCCTCCAATCAGCTTGTCTCCTTGCACACCTTGCTGCTCCTCCTCAGTGGCGCTCTCCTCCATAGATGCCGCGGCTGCCGCCTTGCCCGATTTCCACCAAGGGAGGACCGGGATCTGCCACATGCGCTTGTGGACATCTCCCTAACGCTGTAGGTCCCAAATGAGGCGCTCGTCATTGTAGGCACGATAGCGCTCCGAGCCAATCGTCTCGGTGTTCACACCCGCATCTCCCAATCGGCCGGTAGAAATCAGGTTCGCACATAAGTCCGGCACCACAGCACGTTCTTCAGCCCCACAAGCTCTCCATCCGCTCCCATGAACTTGGCGCACCACATGCCCATGACCTTGGCCTTGGCGCCTATTGCGGATGTGACCGTAGAGATGGGTGCGGGGTGAATCTCATCGAGTAGGTCCGCACGAGGAGTCATATGCCAGGAGCTTCCTGAGTCAATCATCAATGGGTGAGGGGGTGTAGGAGAACCTTAGCAGCCATAGCGAGGTCGGTTGTGCCTTTATCCCTCTCCTCAGATTTGCCGCCTTTCTCCTCATCCCTCACCTCTCCACTAGCTCCCATGACTCCCTCACTCCTCTTGCCACCATGCTGGTTGCTTGATGAAGGCGGGGTCCAATCCTTAGATCGTTGGTAGCACTTCCGCCAACGATGTTCGCACTTCTTGCAGTAGAAGCACACCTCCCCTTGATCCACGCCGCCATCCTCCTTAGGGTTGTCCTTGTTCTTGCCCTTCCACTTCTTCTTGAAGCCACTCTTTCCACCTCCAACTCCATAGCCAGCCCCCTCCCCCGAGCGCTCCACACTCCGCCACTGCAAATCTTCCTCTAGAATGCGTGCGCGAATGTAATCCACGCTCCACTGGGGCTGTTGAGAGTTGAGGTTGATCGCAAGGGCAGACCACGACTCCAAGAGTTGTATCACGATCTCCACGCATTGCACGGGCTCCGGATACACCACACCGCCGCCTTGGAGCTTCGTGAAGATGTCCCACATCTCATCCAACACTGGTTGCATCGGCTCTCCATTAACGAACTTGATGTCGCGCAACCGCCGCGCAAGTAGCATGATGCCGGTAGCATGTGTCGGTGAGTGCACATCCAGAAGCCTCCTCCAAGCCTTGGGGGCACACTCTGGATCACCCAAGAGGTCCTTGATGTGGTCAAGTTGTCGTCCCCCAACCGCTTGCACCATGAGCATGTACGCGTCGAACGATCGCTTCATCCATGCTCCTTTCAGCTCCGCAGCCTCCGGCATCTTCTCCCCCTCCACCAAGTCCAATAGCTTGTATTGGGTGTACATCGGCCTCATGCGAAAGCTCCAGTGCTCGTAGTCCTCCCTCATGAATTTATCAATAGAGAACGCCTTCACGGGATCCACGGTTGTAGGAGATGGTGTAGAAGATGAGGGTCGCATAGGGTTGGCTGGTTGGTGAGTCCCCACTCCACCACCAGCAACTCCCCCCTGCTCTCCAGCCTCTCTGACTCCAGCCATCTCGCCATTAGCACCTCCGGAGTCCGTTCCAGTCATATTGAGGCCTTATGAACAGTGGAAACTTGAGAAATCGCTTGGATAAGATTCTGCCAGAATCTTTGAGTTTACAAAAATCGCCGTCGCGGACTGGATACTTGGAATGAAAGCGCCATTCGACCACCAATCGAACGTTCGTGAGCAGAGCTACTAGAAAATGGTCTCACTCGTCAACATTGGTTGAGAATTTACGACAATTTGTTGTCTCGAAGTCGACTACCCGCTCTGATATCACTTGGTGTTCAGGATCCATCACTTTGAGAACTTACGACAAATTCATTACTCAACTAAACGCAAATCCGCTCGGTAGGATTGTGCGTCTTTGGCTTACCTACCATCTCCAATTCGAATCACTTAGAAAGATGGTCTAGAGAGTGAGAACGGTTTGAAAACGTCTAGCAGCTGCATGACTAGAGTGGTGGAGGAAGTACAAGCATTAGAGCATAGGAAGTTGGAGTTGGGGACTCCAAGAGAACCATGAGAGGGAAAGGGTTCTCCAAGATCTAGGGAAGGATGGTAAGAACCTTCCCAGCAGCAAGGATGCAACCCTCATCATGAGGTCCTTGAGGTGTCACATGCAAAATCCAATCTAGTTGGATTTTGCCTAGGTGTTGCAACATTTGCAACCCATGCTAGAAACTTCTAGCCACCCCAATCCAAAATTCAAAGTTGGCTTCCTCACCACCCAACCAAATTAGATATAACCCCAAAAGGTAATAATAAATCCAAGTCTTGGGAATCTTATAACTTGGGCGATGTTGGTCGTGTCAGAATGTTATATTTGTCTAGCCTGCAGTGGGGTACTCAATAGTGAGTACAGCCCAATCTAGGGTTTGCTATATGTACTCAACTGCTTGCTAGTGAAACCCCTCTTCTCTGTTTCATTCATTCGTTCACATTCTAACATGCTATCAGAGCAAGTCGACCCACCCAGGTCGATCCTGTGCTTGGATCCACCTGCTTCCGCTGCTGTCCTGTCTGTCGCGCGCCCCGTGGCGCGCGACGTTTTTTCTTCCCGCCACGCGCTTCGAGCGCGTGGCGGTTTTCTGCCCGCCGTGCGCCCCGAGGCGCACGGCGGTTTTCTGCCCGCCGTGCGCCCCGAGGCGCTCGGCGGTTTTCTGCCCGCCGAGCGCCCCGAGGCGCGCGGCGGTTTGCCTTCTCACGCGGCGCCCTGGGGGCCCGCGAGTTGCCCTGCCCGTCGCCCGTCGCGGAGCCCTGTGGGCCCGCGCGTCGCCCCCCCCCATCCCGTAGCCCGTCGAAGCGCCCCGGGGGGCTCGGGCGCGGCCCTCCCGTCGCCCGTCGTGAGGCCATCGGGGGCCCGCGCGGCCCCCCCTTCCGTCGCCCGACGTGGTGCTCTCGGGGGGTCGCGCGCGGCCCTTCTCCCGTCGCCAGTCGA